GGGCTCTAGTGGTGATGGCTGGGGCGGGGTGTGTGTCCATGTTCATTGTGAGCCCGGAGGTGCGAACATTTCTCCTCTCTGTGCTGATTCGGTGGGAATCGCTGCTCCGGGGCTACGGGCTCAAAGGGGTTCAATGCGATTCGGTGCCTGGATCCTACAGACGGTTAATTCGATCCTAGCTCCGAAGGTCCCGGACGGTGTAAACGGGCCCGGGTCCTCTGCGCTGTGCTGCAGTAGCGGGGCTGGGAGACCCGGGCCTTTCCCATTTCCCGGGCGGGCTACCGGCCCCTAGGAGCGCCCTGCCGAGTCCAACAATCCCACGCGCTGCTATTGCCTGTGTCTCCTTAACTCCCCAGCGCTGTGAGAGCCCATCGGGATCCGCTCCCCGCGCTGTGCCAGGCGCTGCACAAACACACTAGGGAGGAGGAAGGAGACTTCTTCTGCCAGAGACTCCATGGCAGTGACTTGGCTCGTTAAGGGAAGGCGGTTGTGTGTCTGATAAGGAGGGGAATATGCAAATGGCGGTGACCGCTGCCTGCTTAAATCGGTGTCTCTTTCTCTCGGCTTCGCTCGGAGAGACACCCCGTAGCCCCCGGTGTCTGTTCAGTTACCAGCCAGCTCTCCCACCCAGCGACAGGGGAAATGAAATTTTGGGTCTATTTAGTTTTCGTGGTGGCAGCTTTGCCAGGTAGTTTCTAGCTAAAAACACTGGAGAAACGGACGGAGATTTCGTATTTGATATTTCGATACTAATGTTCGTATCGCGCCTTTGTTTCCAGGTGCCCGGTCCCAGATAAGCTTGGTGGAGTCCGGTGGGGATATGAAGAAGCCCGGAGACTCTCTGCGCCTCTCCTGCAAAGCCTCCGGCTTCACCCTCAGCAGCTATCATATGAACTGGATCCGGCAGGCTCCGGGGAAGGGGCTGGAGTGGGTCGCTTTTATCAGCAATGCTGGGGGTACTATACACTATCTTGATGCCGTGAAAGGCCGATTCACCATCTCCAGGGACAATCCCAACAACCTGCTGCACCTGCAAATGACCGGCCTGAACCCCGAGGACACCGCCCGCTATTACTGTGGAGACACAGTGACACGAACCCTGCTGCTGCTCGTACACAAACCAGAGCTAAAGAACGTCCCGCGTTTACCACACGGGGGCAGCAGAGACACGCGCAAAAAAGCCCTAAGTGGAGCGCAGGAGAGCGAAGGCCTGTCAGGATGGAAAACACGGGTTAACTCTTTCGTTTCCTGAACACCTCCCCTGGATAGAACAGCGCTACTCGCCTCCCACAAACTGATCTTGTCATTAAAGGCCCTTCAAGTTCTATGGGTCCAGCCCTCCTGACTGCCGGGGGGCTTTCAAACCTCCTGCGAAGGCGCGTCCGGAAACCCCGAGATCCTCCACCCCTGTCCACAGCAAGGCCAGACTCCGCCAGCCAGTAGACTAGAGAGGGTTTATTGCTTCTCTAGGATACAGCACAGCATAGACTGGTGTGGTTACAGTAGTCAGGGCCAAGCAGCCTTAGACCTCTTGGGATAATGTCAACCGGCCCCTGACCTCTGAGTACTCAGCTTAGTCTCCTCTCTATGATGAGGTAACTGGCTCAGTGGACATGGGAAAGTCAGTGGACTTTAGCAAGGCTTTTGATAAGGTCTCCCACAATATTCTTGCCAGCAAGTTAAGGGAATGTGGATTGGATAAATGGATGGTAAGATGTATAGAAAGTTGGCTAGAAGGTTGGGCCCAGAGGGTAGTGATCAATGGCTCGATGTCAGGATGGCGGTCGGTTTCTAGCGTAGTGCCCCAAGGTTCGGTTCTAGGACCGGTTTTGTTCAATATCTTTATTAATGACCTGGATGAGGGGATGGATTGTACCCTCAGCAAGTTTGCGGATGACACTAAGCTAGGGGGAGCGGTAGATACACCGGGGCTGTGTCTACACTGGCATCCCTTCCAGAAAAGGGATACTAATGTAGCACTTTGGAATAGGCAAATCCTTTCAAGTAGGAATAAGAGATCCTCCAGAAAAGGCTTTATTTTCCGGAGAATCACGTCTAGACTGGCGCTTTTCTCCGGCTTATCTCCAAGCCAAGTAATGCACATTGGAAAACATAATCCCAACTGTATATACAAAATGATTGTTACCATTCAAAAGAGAGATCTTGGCATCACTGTGGATCATTCTCTGAAAACATCCACTCATGCAGCAGCAATCAGAAAACAAACAGAATGCTGAGATTCATTAAGAAAGGGATAAGACAAAGAAGAGCTTATTGCCTCTATATAAATCCAAGACATATCCACATCTTGAATACTGTGTGCAGATACCATTGCCTCATTTAAAAAAAGACATGTTGGCTTTGAAAAAAGTTCAGGAAAGGGCAACAAAAATGATTAGGGGTTTCGAACAACTGCCGTATGAGGAGAGATTAATAAGACTGGGACTTTTCATCTTGGAAAAGAGACAACTAAAGGGGGATATGATAGAGGTCTATAAAATCATGCCTGGTGTGAAGAAAGTGAATAAGGAAGTGTTATTTACTCCTTCACATAACACAAGAACCAAGGGTCACCAATTAAATTAACAGGCAGCAGGTTTCAAACAAAGCAAAGGAAGTATTTAAGGAAGACAAATCATGGGCACTCCAGGCAATCTTGATTGCTGGAGATAACACCCCTGGTTACCCCCAGGACTAGGTCGCTATAACACTGCCATGTGCAAGATCTGGATGGCTCACGTTAACTTGTTTCTTTCCCGATTCATCAGCCTTTGGTGCATTTAGCCCTCGGATGGCTACGGGCCATGCCTTTGGGGTGAGACCTAGGGCACTGGTGGAGCTGGCTGGTCTCTTGGAATTGAGTTGTTTGGTGACTTTGACCCTTGATCACTGAGTCCAGCTTGGCTGGTGTCACGTTACTGGATTTTGAGGGGAGCAGCCAGATCACTGCTGCACCCATGGGGGCGGGGGTGTTGACCCCAAACGTGGCGCAAAGGGGGCCATGTGAGGTGTCCAATAGAAGCCTACTTTCTTCTGATTCCATATATGTTATTCATGTGATTTGTATAATGTGGGTATGTGAAGTTATAAGCATGTATTTTCTGTGGATACCAAATGTTTCTCTATATGTGGTTGAACTATGGGCAAAGCACCTCAGCCTATGAAGATGCTAACGAGCAAAGCTCTGAAACAATAGCCCTCCATAGGCCAAGGAAACACCTCAAGAGTGGTGACTCATACCTAAGGGCTACCAGCAGGCAACACAGGAATAGGCCATAGGCCAGGTGACCTGCTGTAGCCAAGAAGAGACCAGAAAGGAAGGATAACTAGACCATGTGGTCGATTCCATCTTGGTTCCTCAGCTCAGCACTTCATCCCAGAGGCAGCAGTTCAGGGATTGAAGAGCCGGAAAGAACCGTGGACCCATCCTGATTCTAGGATGTGCAACAAGGACTCTTAAGCCAGCAGCTGTAACATCTCTGCTAGAGCCTGCATCGAGAACTGGGAGATTCGATGCATGTAATGTATGATTCTTTAGCAACCTTCTCTCATGCTTTTCTTTATTGTAGTTGTGACGGCACGTTGGGGGTCCCCCGTCTCCTGCACCCCGAAATGGCACAAACAAACTGCACCAGCCGGTGGAATAGAGGAAGGTTATTGCCTCTCCAGGATGCAGCACAGCACAGATGGAATCTGGTCACAGAGCTGGGCTAGGATGCCTCAGGCCCCCTTGAGATGGGGGGAGACTGGGCCCCTAAACTCCAGCTCCTCTCCCTAGGCTGTCTCCTCCATGCTCACAGACAGCAACACACTAACCCTCTTCCAGCCCTGCCCCCCACCCAGGGCAGCATTCCCCCTTCCTTTGTTCCTCTCCATGGGGGGTGTCTGGTTCAACAAGTTTGGCATCACCTTTGCATAGTGAGGTTTTCCCTGCTGGGTCTTGCTCCAGACAGCAGAGGTCATCACAGCCCAGCAAGTACCCCCACTACGTCACAGTAGTAATAAACCTTTAGATGTTAGATGCTAAAGGAGTGGCTCAGCGTGATTTGTGGGTAAGATCCAGGGGGTAAATTGACCAGGGATCTGTGGCTGGTTTCTTGGAACCAGACAGAACTTGTTCGGGGTAGGTGGGATTGGGTTCTAAGACCCCCCAACCTGTGTATGAGGCCCGGGGCCCTTTGGGGCACGGATATTGCTGGGGTGTCAAGGGGTTTTGCTGTGAGGCTTCAGGCAGGCTGCTGAAGCACTCTGTGGGACTGGTTTGTGGCCTGTGGAAAGGTCACCAGTCTGGGGGCTGTAAGGAGCCCCGAAGTTGAACAATTTGCCCTGAGCAGATGCCCTCAGCTGTGCCCAGACCGGCCCAGTCGGTCACAGTTTGCTGCTTGGGCTTGTGTCCGCTTTGCTTCCAGAGTTATGCTTGAGGTTCTGTCAATCACCCATCAGTTTATTTCCCAGCTGGGTTGGGATCTTTTCTCATTTCTGTCTCTTTGCTTCTCCCTTGTCCGGCAGGAGAATGGTCTGACCAAAACTATGTGTCTCTTCTGTTCTCTGGGAAGTTCTGATCCAACCTGCAATCTCTCCACCCCCATTCACGTCTGGGCTCAGCTTGCATGTTGGACTCTCCCAAGGAACGCAAACATTTAAGAAAACGATGGTCGAAAGAAATTGCCCCTTAGCCATGTCAGGGTGGCTGAGTGGTCTAACAAAGCGGCCCACGTCAGTGCCTGTCTGTTCCCTCATTGGGTGTTCTGGGCTCCGAACCAAGCCGTCGGTTCAAAGCCCACTCTGGGAACCACCTTTGATTCCTGTGTGGAGAAGTATCCTCATTTCCATGTCTCCCTGTCACTGCAAGAACACAAGCTTAGGAATCTACCCCTTCAGGGCATCTGGACAGGTACGTTCTGGCTCGTTTTCCAGGAGATATTTGGCCTTGTCTGGGGTTTGACAGGTTCAGGGGAGGGAGAAGCACAGCAAACACGGATCATTCAGGGTGTGAGGCTCTTAGTTACCTAGGGAAGTAGTATGGGAATGCGTTACCTAGGGAAATAGTGGAGTCTCCATCCCTAGAGATGTTTAAGTCTCGGCTTGACAAAGGCCGGTTGATTTAGTTGGAATTGGTCCTGCCTAGAGCAGGGGGCTGGACCTGATGACCTTCTGAGGTTTCTTCTAGTTCTATGGTTCTAAGATTGAGCTCAGGTGGGTGTCTTGGTCGCTTCTTTAGGGCAGGGAATTAACAATAGAGCAGCCAGGCTGGGAGGCCGCTAGCGCCAAGAGCCCCGCTCCAGTGTGTCCTTATCCGGTCAAAAGAGATCAAAAGTGGGCTCCCAGTTTTACATTAGAAATTCTCCCTGAAATGGCCTTGCCTCCTGAGGCTCAGGAGTGTGGGGCAGTATCGGGGTTGAGGGAACAGAGGGCTGGATGTCGGAATTGAGGGGCACTGAGCGCAGCATGAAAGAGCTAGGGGGGAAGTTACAGACACAGTGCGAACTGGGGCTCGCCAGTCCCAAGGGGTGTAAAAGAGCAAAAATCGCATTGAGCGTCTGTGGGATCCAGACACCGAATTGCGTTAAACCCCCAGAGTGACAATTCCCACCGAATCTGAGCAGCGAAGAGAAATGTGCGCACCTCCGGGCTTACAACAAACACCGATTCCCCCTCGCACCAAGTGAGCCAAAGCCACTAACGCCAATTAAACTATTTCCCTTCCCCACAGCCGATTCCCAGACAACCCCTAGAAATGAATGATGAGCTAAGTGACGTCATTTCTTCTTATCTCCCCAGCTCTATGTGAGCCCCGTTGGGACCCGCCCCCCGCGCTGTGCCAGGCGCTGCACAAACACACAGGGAGGGGGAAGGAGACTCCTTCTGCCGGACACTCCATGGCAGTGACTCGGCTCGTTAAGGGAAGGCGGTTGTGTCACTGAGAAGGAGGGGAATATGCAAATGGCGGTGACCGCTGCCTGCTTAAATCGGTCTCTCTCCCTCCCTATGCTGTACCCGGAGAGACACCCCGCAGCCCCCGGTGTCTGTGCAGTTACCAGCCAGCTCTGCCCCTTGCAACTGGGAAAATGAAATTTTGGGTCTATTTAGTTCTCGTGGTGGCAGCTTTGCCAGGTATTTTCTAGCCAAACACGCTGCAGAGGCGGAGAAATAGCTTGTGTTTGGCAGTTCGATACTAATGCTCGTATCCCGTCTTTGTTCCCAGGTGCCCGGTCCCAGATCAGTTTGGTAGAGTCCGGAGGGGATATGAAGAAGCCCGGAGCCTCTCTGAGCCGCTCCTGCAAC